ACTTGGACAAAACCTGCTTTCGGCCACAAAAATAAAAACTATTCTTGAAAAAACTTATAGATTTTCAAAACTGACAGATTAAATTTGGAAAACCGCGACCAAAACATAATGCGGTAAATGGATCTAATGTTGGCCTATGGATCTAAGATTGGGCCCATCGCTAAAAACCTTCTATTTATCAATTTTATCTAGATGAACGCGTCATTGGGACGATACTAATGGATATTTTTGGTCACTATTGAAAATTTAATCGATTGCTGAATTTTTGTGTGGGCCCAAATTAGTCATTTCCCTTATACGAGCAATTTTAAAGCAGAAAGTTTTTCGTGTCCGTTTTGAAGCAGAGCACACTTCGATCAAGAAAATCTGGTTACATAGGCATATAATAAAAGCCTAACAATGCCAAACTATGCACCAATTTTGATTTGTTATTGATTTGGAAAGCGTTCATTCAATTAAAATAGACGATTGTGAAACATTTAATAAAAAGCGCTCTCTTGCCTCACCATTGAAGCAAAAATACGGCGTCGGATTCCTTTTACTGAATCAACATTTTAGGACAAATTTCATGATTTTTAAAATAGGTGTCCATAAAGGATACTTTTAACTAATCATGATTGTATTACTTCATGCGTGATGTTAACGAATAACATAGTTTGAGATGCTTAACGTCAAATATCAGATCTATAGTGGAAATTTTATACGATAGATGAGGAGATAAAGTATAGAGTTGATACTCAACTAAAACTTTTTGCGATGTAAACGCTTTACTCATTTCATTTATACAGCCTCAAGCTGTATTCAAATGTACAGGGTGGTGCCTTGAACATATTCGAAGTTGATTAAATCTTATTGCCGAAATCAGCCGATCACGTGCATGCTTGCATTGACTTATGGATGTTTGACAGCTTAAAAGAACGCATTGTAAATCTTAATGCTTATTCAACCAAGAAAAGGCTTATTCAGCTAAAAAAGCATAATATTAATCACTTTCATCATACAAATTTCCAAACTTTACATCCGTTACTTAATAACATCCCTATCTCGATCGTCACTTAAATATAAAGAAATATGTTCTATGAACGTTGCTTAGGAAAATCTGCTGAAAATGCATTTGATACTGTTTGTGCCTGTAACTTCAAACCGTTTGGTTGAATCTTCAAAGAGAAAAATAGGAAATCATTCAAACTTCTATGCACTTGCTCAAAAACATAGGCCACCCATGCAGCAACACGACAAACAAATGAAAAAGGCTTGTACAAATGCTTGGAATTTTTTTTTACGAAATAAATAAATTTTAACAACTCAGAATTGATTTTAAAAGTTTCTGATTAACTTCCACTTTTTCAACAATTCAGATTTTTGATTAACTTCCACTTTTTCAACAATTCAGATTTTCAACAATTCAGATTAATCAAATTAAAAAAAAAAACAATATCAATTGTATAATGCAGCGTATATTTTTTCATTTTTTTTTTAAATGAATGATACCATTTCGATACAATCAATAGTTTTTGAGATACGTTTTTTCCCAACATAGTGACCATGAAAATACATACGCCTTTTCAAAGTATGGCGCTTGAGCCAAAATGGTCTAAATAACTAAACAGCAAAAACACTTGTTGAAAATTACATTAAAACTGTTGTACACATGGGTTTCCATGGGTTATCAGAGACGAACCAGTCAACGGCTGAAAGTCTCTATAATAAAGAAATCAATCATCAATCCATGGGTTGTGCAATATTACATTAATTACATGATTACATCCAAAGTTCAAAATTTGTACAAATAGTTGATGTTTTTCGATGTTGGTCACTTTTGAAATGTCCATTGTGTCCATTTCAGAAAATTTAGCACTTTAAATAAGCTTTCAAATAAACATAAGTTTAATTCTTCTTTTCCTTTATTTAACGTCGGTCTCTGTTCCGCAATCTAGTGCCAATCAACGACGGACATCGATTGCCATCCATTGACGGCAACCGAATGTGCAGGAAGGCAGCTTCCACACCTGCGTAGGATATCGCACCCATTCACAACAACACTCATGAGCCGGGACCAACGGTTTTACTTCCCTTCCGAAGGAAGACGTGACCAGAGATTTTTATGCCTCAGAAAAATCCCACCGACCTCGGCTGGGGATTGAACCCAGACCCATTGGGGTGTTAGAAAGCAGTCACGCTTACCACTACATCACCGGCGCCGACGATAAACATAAGTTTAAAAATCTTGAATTTTTTTTTATATTGATATTTTTTTCCTTTATTTAACGACGGTCTCTGTTACGCAATCTAGTGCCAATCACCGACGGACATCGATTGCCATCCATTGACGGCAATCGAATATGCAGGAAGGCAGCTTCCACACCTGCGTAGGATATCGCACCCATTCAACACACACGAAGGAAGACGTGACCAGAGATTTTTATACCTCAGAAAAAGACCACCGACCTCGGCTGGGATTGAATCCAGACCCATTGTGGTGAGAAAGCAACCACCGGTGCCGGCTAATATTGATATTTTTAACATCTGTTTTAATATTTTAATCGAAAATTTGTGATTTTTTTATGAGGCCTTTTCTGAAAAGGTAATCCAATTCCCTACAACTTTGTCTGAGACTTCATTCAGATGAACCGTTTTCATGCTATGATATATTGAAAAACAACGAATATGTCATTTTAAGAAATTAGGTGTGCGTCAAAATGGTTGAATTAGGTGTGCGTCAAAATGGTTGAATTCTGGTACAAACTTGATTCATTGCCCATAGTGAACAATTATGCGAAGTTTCCTAATCAATTCGAATCGTATCGATCATATTTTTAAGAACAAATAATGAAACTAACATACTAGAAATGAAAAATCACTTTTTTGTATGTTTTTTTTATTCTAGTTATTTTACTCAAACTACAACTTCATATCTGCCATCAACTTAACGTTTGAAATTTGTAAAATGAGTGCATTCTATGCCTATAATATGTATTGTTTTTACTATAGTTTACTGTGTGGCAAGCACTATCAAACTCGATGCCCATGGAGATGAAGAAAATGTCCTATCCGAAAATATGTTAGACCAGATGATGAATTGAAATCACGGTCTCAAGTATGATCTCTGATGCACCTTTATATACTTGGATATCAGAGGATCTCAAAGTAAAAATGCAAGATTTACCAACACAACGATAAAAGAAGCGAACCAGTCCATCTTGTTCTTCCTGATCTAACCTGTCGTAATCCCATTGAATAAATCACAACTGATAGAAAATTTCAATACTCAACATCTCTCTTGGGAATCCTTGTTCTTTTACGACCACCCGTCAATCAAAAGTGCTAAAATCTCCATCCGAAAAATATCCTCACCTAATTACCCAATTTGTAAACAGTCATCTCCCGGGAAAGCCCTCTAAGATACGCTAAGCCCATAGGAATTCAATAGTGCTTGGCATAGAAGCACCCCTTCCAGAAGCCGATAAAAAAAATTGTGTCGCAAAAAACCGAATCCAAAGCGAGGGTGCAGTGAAAACCGTTTAATTCAATTGACCACCGTATCCAGGCCAGACCGGGCAATGTTGTGAGCCGACCCAACCAAACACACGCAATCTATCGATAGGTACGTAAGGGAGAACAGCCCATAATGCACCCCTGGGGTAAAATGCCCACTTATAGAAAAACAGCGATAACTTTTCCTCAGATGCATTTTCCGGGTAACGGATTGTGTTTGTTTTCAACTGGAGGTTTCGCAAATGATTCTTGATCATAAAATCATATATTGACCTACTGATTCCCTTAAAAAATAGCATTTTGTGCAAAATATGATACAGTTGTTAAAATCGTCGACTTCAAATTAAGCTTTTAACAGCATATATCGCAAAAATTGAACTAATTCACTTTTCGTATATTTTTTAGATGTTTTACTTAATGAATCACAGTTTAACACTCTATTGCGACCTTATTTCTGATGTAACATAAAGGAATAATCATCAGGCGTCAAATCACCATGAATCAGGCGTTTTGCCCCGCTATCATATTGGAACCAATTTATAAAATACCTTGAAAATCATGAAAATGCATCGTTCTGTAGTTCGAAATCACTTGATCTTCGTAGAAAACATGGTAATGAACCAAACACCATTACTTTCTTCTTGATTTTAGCTTCCATACGCCAGCAATTGACGATTTTGCTTAAACGGTGCGTTTTGCACCATCCTACCCTACGGCCATTCACCCACCGGCCGCCGTCCCGTGTTCGGTGCGGTGAATACTGGCAAAGGAAAACGACCGAATTCGCTTGTCTACAACGATCAAAATCTCATCCATTATATCCTCCTTCACTGGTCGTCACCGCCACCGCCATCAATGCTAGCAGATGACCGAGAACCTCCCGTATCTTGCACATGTGGCACGGATGCGGTTCACTAGGAGGGGCCGGGTGTTACAAAAGTGCAAACGTTGAAAAGGCTTTCGAACACCTCGTTTTTCATTCCATGCCTGCCTCTTGAGTGTGTGGCCGGGTGTGTGTAACCGATTCGGTCCCTTAAATCCCCACTATGGTTTAAGCAGACGTGAGTGTGACCAAAAGTGTATACATTGATCAATGAAATGAATAATCGATTTTTGTCGAATTTTATACGTGATTCGAACTTAAACCATGTTGCAATCTGAAAACTACGAAATTTTTACCAATTCATTCATTCAACAACCACTGTGCGCAGAGAGTGGTACCATGATCGATGTCAAGGATTTAAACTGGAATGCAATCCGATGTAAGGAAATCCTTTCTATAATAATTTCAATAGAAAAGGGGGAAAACTGTAAGATGCTTTTCACAATGCGTGGTTTGTGGGTAACACCCACTTTTCCTTTTTATGTCATATGTTCCCGAAAGGAGGGCCCATCAGGAAAACCTGTTACTTCGGAATTTTCGGCAGGTTGAATTATGCTCAGTGGTCGTTGTTAGCCGCCAAGTTATGATTTTTATGAGGTAATATCTGTCCACAGCCTCTTACCTTGACCTGAGACTCCGTCATCCCCAGTGCGTACGCTAGCTTTGCTCGTTCTGGACCCGCCAGATATTTGGTCTGTTCGAAGGTTTTCTCCAAGGCGAAGATTTGTTGCCCACTGAAGGTCGGCCGGGTGTGTTTCTTTTTGCCATCCTTGTCCTGGTTGTGATGCGATTGTGATAGACTAGCTGACACTGAAAGAAGGACAAAAGCAAAAAAAATGATATTAGTTACTATATATAGCAAGAATATCCTGCAGAGGCGGATGACGTCCAGGCAAAGGACAATGTGTTATGTGATTTTAACAAGCCCTCACGACATCAGATAATTACAAGCTATCATCCAGCCCACTGGGACCTGACTGGAGATTCCACAACACATGCCCAATGTTGCCTTCCAAGTGTAGCTGAGGCTACTGGAAGCATAGGGAGGCTGTTACGTTTCTTGTTGTAACATTGTATTTTATGTCATTATTATTTCTCATTCGGTTTTATGTGAGCTTTTCCTAGCAGTGGAGACCGAACCAACAGCAAGAGCGAATAAGAACGCCGTAAAACCAGATGACATTTAAGTACGTGTTTCGCATTTTAACAGACCGCCTTCGCTTGAGGGCGGCTACCATCCGGGTGACTGACAGTGGAAAACAAGTTGTAAATGGCATTGCAAGGTGATGGCTTGATACTGTATGTGGGATGTATTCGATTGGTGAATTGCAAACTAACACAGCGTCGATTGAGTAACAATTACCCGTGCTTTCAGATTTTAACAATTGACTTGCGAAACGAACGGCTCTAACTAAGATCATAAGCGAGGTGAAGGAGAATCAAATGAAATCATGTTGAACAAAAAATAATGAGCATCAGCATGAGCATTACTGACCGCCAGCGGTTGCTACTTCGTTATTGCCAGATTACCTGTGGTTACATTGAGAACCAACACATGATACTATCATCCTTAATGTGCACAACCTGGTGATCTAAAACTTTATAACAGGCAATACCAGCACCGACTTCTTTTGAATGTAGATCAATTTACCCTTTACTACCCAAGCCCGCCTTTTGGTTTGGGTTTATTCAATAAGCTGGGACCAAACAATTGGATAATTTAACAAATGTTGTGCCAATGATTGGAAAGATACTATTTACTAATCTACCATCTACATGAACATTTGAAATAAATTGGACACAAAATTATTCTGTGAAGTTATGTTGAAAAAAATATGTTCCATGATTATCCGTAAAAACAAATTCATTGAAAAAATGATCTTAACTTCATAAAGAAATTTCCATCGTAATGACATTTAGACTAAACAGATTTTTCAGAAATTTTTGCCAGAATTTGCTCTTGATTTCTAAATTCAGGTGGCCAAGTTTGGCGAAAAATAGTGCAAACGCACGTGAAAAAAAATGAAAAAAAAAATAAAAAAAGCTGCTCTTGACAAACTTGGATGCATTTCGAAAGAAAGCATACAGGATATAATAAAAATGGGCAGTGGAGGATTAAGAAATGGAAAGGAATGTCTTGACGTGATAATCGCTTTGTTGGAAGCCGAGAAATCCCTTGCACTTCCTCGAGAAATAACTGGAATCCCCAAGTAACATGGAAAGTTTTACCAAGATGTTACCAAGATACAACCAAAATTGTAACTTAGGATGTTGAATAAAAGGTTTGGGTATGAAACAGGGTTCATTTTTCAAAATGATACGGTGAATTGAAGTGATGTGTTCATGTTAATAAAGATAGCGACTAACGAGTTTTGAATGTGAGGGGGCCTGAAATTAAAGCCATGGTGTTCTGCAAAGTAAGCAAAAATTATTGCTTTAAAGCCACCGAGCGCCTGATATTACATCACACCATTTATGATCGGCACCGACGACGATGACGACAAGTTTCAAAAACACATGATGAGCAAGAGATGGAACTCTAATGTATGTATGTATGTAAAGGAAACCACTCATTGTTGTAGGCACAACCATTAGACAGTGGACTGTCCACCTCGTACGACTTGATCAAGTACAACACCTGATTGTTTTCAATTTACCATTGTATGAAGGGCCAAAACGGAGGGCGAACCTGTAAGCAGATACACTTACGCTTAGTTCGCGGGATCAAAGAGAATCTCCTTCCAACAATAAAATCCTACAACCCGGTAATGTACAAACCATCGCACTAGAGGATGTCCCAATGAGTGGGGAAGAAGAGCCCACGATTCACGATCTGTTAACGACAGGAAGTTGGTAATTCCACTCTCCCCATCCAAATCGCTTCAATCGGGTGCCCTGGTTGTACCGTCCCATACCCAGCATATAATGTGTCATATAATAATGGAATGAATGTTAAGAGAACAATAAAGGAAATATCTCACCCGATATGTTACAAAGGAATCCATAACTTCACGGCGATTTGAAGAGCTCCCATAGATTAGAGGACGATTTATATTCTTCTGCAGTTAAACAAAAACTATCATCTCTGAAAGACTCTCGATAGAACTACACGAAGAAAGCGTGACATTCGAACACTCACTGTGAAGTAATTACGATACCGGCCTCCCAGGAGACAATGCAATTCGCAGGCACACTTACAACCGCTGGTTACAAAAAAAACACACCCATGCAAAGAAACGGATGCAATGAACGTCACTCTCGCGAAAGCACACCCGTCGTCGACGAATGGCAAAAAAAAAATCGGTGGGCAATTTGGTATACGGAATTTCCACTGAAAATCAACCGGGAATGCACAAATTTCACCACTCCCAACTGCGAAACACGTTCAAAAGCACTTTTGGAATACTTTTGATCGAAAACACTTAATTTGTTTTCAAAAATACCAACATCATAAACTGAAATTGAAATTATCACTCGCGATGTCACAAATTTCTGGTCCAGGAGAAAAAATCAAACAACGCAGATAGCGCCAAATCTTCTGATGCTTGCAAACATGATGAATCATGTTTTCTTTCTCGATTCTAAAACTTCTCGAAAAGCGAGAAAACCACCAATCACACACGTATAACCGTCCGGGAGGCAGAGTGCCAGCGCTGATCAGGCAAATGCAGTCGAAAACTATCAAAACGAACGCACGCAAGAGATGGAATTCTAATACACCTTAACATAAAGGTTCCTAGAATTAATCCCACGATTTTCTGCTAACTAAGCAAAAACGGCTGTAGGCAGCCAATTCCCTCATATCACAACACACCACTTATGATCGAGTTGAAGCTATAACCTTTCAAATCCGACGATAATTCCCCTTACACTAGAGTTAGCCATTGTGACCGACGATCTTTTAAACCCAGAGACATGAAGCTATGAAAAGTACTTAAACCATCCCTAAATTCGATTTATTACGCGATTTAGTCCTTACGTAAGATGAGAAAAGAACTTATTAAGCCACCGTTTTTTTTTGTGCCTCGTACTTTACGAGAAACCTAGTTGAGTGACATCAGACCGATGCAAACTACACTGACCAATCACCAGCATTTAACAAGATCAATCACGCTATCAGCATTGCTAGATTGGAACTGCTAGGAATTAATGGATGTCTACTATCTTGGTTCCAGTCGTATCTTATCGAGCGCCAACCCATCCATTGTGTCTATTGAGCATTACAATTCGATCACTTTCCCAGCAACTACAGGTATTCCTAAAGGAAGTCACCCCGGGCCACTAATTTTCCTAATTTATTTCATCGATGTGAACCTTGTACTAGAAACACCCCATTTGTCTTTGGCTGATGCTGATGCTGATGTTGATGCTATGTTTCTACAAATACAGATGAATAGATTCAGTGACTGGTTTGACTATGCCCGCATGACAGTAATCCTAACAAGTGCTGGATAATCTCCTACTCTCCCAAAAAAGAGCCCGTAGAGTTCAATAACATTCTCCTTTGTATTTCAATTGAACGAATAAGTCACGTGAACTCACAACTGGCGTTCAAAAAGAACATGGTAGACAAAACCCCCCGATCTTTGGGGATTATCTTTAGAATACCTAATAATTTAACTGGCGTATACTGCCTTCAATTGTTATACTGTTCCCTAGTACGATCTACATTAGAATATGGTGTATTTGTTATAATAATGGAGTTGAGCGAATCGAGTCGTTTCAACAAAGATTAATTCGCTATCAACTTCAGCGATTACCGTGGCGTGATCCTTGTAGACTGCCCCCCAACGTTGTTCATTAATACACCTAGAACCTCTCAACGCTCGTCGCGATACTCTAAGAGCTATGACGTATGTGATGAACTAGCCTACGGCTAAAAATCACAAAAATAAAGAAAAAAAAAAAAATCTAAGAGCTATGTTTGTTGCTGACGTTCTACAGAATTACTATGGGGAATCATGGAGTTTAACTTACATTGCTCTTACTTTGGTTGTAATTGCCCAAACGATGACAAAATGTGGTAAGTGGTTGTAATGACTACGATTGAATAGCCTGTTATCATTGTGATGAAATTGGTGCTGTTGTCTTGCACATGTTCAATTCTGAATCTTAACTGTCATGTAAAATTTCTTCTCGTTTAATTTTAAACAATAGTTGGCATAAACAACTAAATTTCTTATAAGTTTGTAAAAAACATTGGTGATTTATACGATATTGCGCTTAAATTTACATTAAATATTGTTTAAAAATACGTCAAATCTAGGGTTAATAACGTGTGCGCTATAATTCTCATTCTCCGTGGTCCGGCCCCCCTCCTCACCCTGCGGTTCGCATTACGTGACACAAATTAATCGCATAGCAATCATCTAGACTGTTTTACAATAGTGTTCAAACTAACTTTAGTGTGCCACCGACACATGGAACAATGTGAACGTTTTACAACGCTTTCACAATATTGCACAATCGTTCAAACCACCAGTTCTTTTTTCCAATTTCTTTTTCAAGTCCTTACCCATAAACATCCTAACAATATGTGCGCACAAAATATGTAGCACACATCGGTTTCATTAAATAAAGTTACTTACTGTTATGGAGGCGAACATTAACCCACCACCACTACCACCACATCTTTCCCTTGCCCCAAACTAAATCAGATTTTCTACTTTCGCTGGGTGTGTTTGTGTTTTGCCATTTCTTTCGCCATGTTTATTTATGTCATCAAGCGTAGCGAGCAAATCTCGTATATCGTAACCGTTTGATATTGTTATTATTGTATGACATCTATTTGCTGCTCCGGTTTTATTTGT